GGGATTTTCAAGAAGAATATGTATCTCTAAGAGAGAGAAAGATGGCCTCATAGAGGGGCGTTATTTCCATAGTCAGTTTGGGTTGGTTAAAGTTCTATTTTTAGAAATAAAATTTCTTAGTTATTCTCAATGTTCTATTGTTTATAGCAGTGCAACAGTAGGAAAGATAAGTTGATTGATAGTGTTGATTGATTGGGAGAATGGGATCAAAAGGGAAGATCAATAAAGAATTTTTAATGATATTTAGATTGACATATATCTCTTGTAACTCAAAACTATAATATTCATTCTGATAGTGGATTTCTACTTGCCGAGGCTGTGGACATAACCCTTTAGGGTGAACCATATAAATCATGTGTCATTGTGGTATGGTTTTTGTTTTACTCTATTTCTTATGAGGAAGTTACAATTACTCTTAGCTACTAAATGTCAAATTGGATGGCTTGAGGTGCATCATGAAATTCAAAAAAAAAAAAATTGGACTTTGAGTGTAGTTAAAGACATACTCATAACCGCCTACATTTAAATCGACGAACAAAAGTGATTGTGTGTGCTAAGAATAGATGGTATCTTTATATACTTTTTCCATAATATATTGGTGAGTTTTTATATATAATACATCTTTTGAATAGATGGTATCTTTATATACTTTTCCCAAAATATATTGGTGAGTTTTATATATATAATACATCTTTTGGAATTTGAAACGTAGGATGACGGTGTGAGAAAGGAAATTGGTGGGGGTTCATTGGTATAAAATTTGGACTACTTGTTTGTTTCATGGACCGGTAACATTGATTTGGACGTTCTCCGTTAACTGGCACACCTTCTCTCTCTCTCAATTTGGGTGAAAGTTAAATATAACATCTACCCTAGCCATGTCTTTCTATCCAAGCCATATATGGTCAGCCAATTGCATTTTATAAGGACATGGTTTGCATAAGGTTACAAACGTATACAATTAAATGAAGGTGCACCTACAAACCTTATCATGAGATATACTTTTGGCGCAAAATTTTTTCGGATGATGTGAGAATTTATTTTTAACTCTAATTATAAAATTTACTTCAAAAATGATTCAAATCAAATAAATCTATAAATACATGAAAATATTGAAAATAGATGATCCAGATAATGTGTTGCAAGATGTATTAAGACTTAAAATCTCTCTTTTTTTCCATTATACATCTCGATATTGAGATGTTCAATTAAATATTTTCCAACATCAAAGCAACCGTTTTCAAAGGATTTTAGATGTACACCTTTGTATAAAATTTTTCCTTTTACAAAGTACTATTAAATGATTAGAATCCTGAAAAAAGCAACTTGTAAACAAATCGAACTTGGGGTACAGGAGGCATCGAATCAGAACAATATTTGATCTCATATCACCTTCAAAAATGCAAGTTTAGTAAGTTGTATAGTTACGCACTAATTGATCCCTTGGGGTGGTCGCTTTCCCATAAAACAAACATATTAATGAAAATCATTCTCTAAAAACAAATTCCCCATTACCAAATCTGCCACTATTGATACATCTATTATCGTCCGTGGGTAATATGCATCTCTCGAAAAAGTAGAGAAACATGTTATTTATCTTTCGTACAAGGCGGTCATAGTAAATTTTGTTCATCATATGTTAAATTCAGTGGTTGTAAGTGTGTCGTTGACTAGACTTAAAGTTTAAAAAAAAAAAAATTGAACTTTGTAACATACCTCAAGTCATCCAATTTGAAATCTAATGGCTAAGTGATTATGACCTCTTTGTCACAATGGTAAATGCTTTCATAGGATACAATCTTATATTTTTTCATTGAGGAAAAATTGAATATTCTAGAAAGAGAGTACTTGAAGAGGGAGGGACAATGTAGTTGCTCAAAGAATGTAGCCTTCTAAGAAGTAACATATACCTTCTACTTGATGTTAGAAATAGGACCTATAGGCCTATTTGCACAATTTGTGTGAAGATTGAGAGAGAGAGAGAGAGAGAGAGAGAGTTAGAGTCGTAATAGGGGAAAAGAAATAGACACTTCAGCTAGTTGAAGTTGGGCATGGGCCACTTTTTGCATTACTTTTTCCAAGTCACATACGGAAAGAATAAGCCAATTCACGTAGTTGACCTTAGGTATGGTTCACTTTTCAATGGTTAGATACACCCTTGTTCTTATGACTTGGATAAAAGTCCCCTCACTTTTAGGTTACCTTCCTAATGGTCCTCCCTACCTTTTCATCACCTTATCCAAATATTTCACTGGCTTTTCAACATCTTTGATTGGCCACAATATCTATGGGACGCATGCTTGCCCTGAACCTCAACTTGCCTAGGCGCACATATACCAGTGGCTAATGGCACTGGCACCTACCGTTGAAGTCAGAATATATTATTTAATGTCATCATCATCATCATTCAAACTTTATTTTAATTATTTAATATCAACTATATGAATTATGTTTTTCTATTCTTCTCTATCAAACGTCATACATTATGTAAGAATAGGTTCAGGATTTATGATAAGATTGTGGCAAAGTTTTATGATGGTTCTTTTTTAATGCAACCCATCTTTTTTACTTGAGTTTAGGATGGGTTAAAAGGAAAATTTAATATCCTTACCCTTATTAGACCAAGTACTAATATAGTTTTAAAAAAACTGAGTATTTCTGTTTTATTTTTATTTTGTTTTCAGTAATCCAATGTTATTTGCACAGTTATTTAACTTTACCTAATTTATATCTAATTTTTATGCTTATTTTTATAAATATTTTTAGATTTCAGATATTTTATATTTTTAAAGGGACAATATACAATACTTGCTCAAGAAAAGAAAAAGTATGCCATAGGAGTGTTCACCTTTGGAAAATATACAATACCTGTTGGTTTTCTTACAGTGGCCGAGCTAAAAGTCCTAGAGAACTTTTACTAGACTTTGTGAATAGCTTATCTTAGCCGTCTAATTTTACAACTCAACGTGGGGGTTTTTGACCTTTATGCACAAAAGTGACAACCCCATGGAATACAATCCCGTATTGAAAACAAATATTGAAATTCACGTTATTTTTCGTAAATCTTCTTAGGTGGTTGGTTTGATAGAAAGTCTACTTTAGTGGGAAATTCCTAATAAAATTTACAATTATTTAGAAAATAAATAAATGAAAATTTTAAGAGAGGAAGTAAAAATCAGATTTTGTGCTTCTATTCCTTCCCATGTTGTGTATATTTTCCATTTTTTTTCTCCAATCCTTTCATAAGAGAAGAACTAATGTAATCAGAAATACGTGAAATTTATCTACGAGTGCTAAATGATTCGTATACCTTCATCACAAGGAATCTCTTTCTCTCTACACACACGAGTGATTTCATGTCACTGTATCATTATAATATAATGAAAGCACACTTTAAAAAAGCCATGTTTATAACATTTGTATGCGCCAAAAACCATACACATCCTCTCTTCATTCCAATATACAAACCCGAAAAAATGAAATTCAATTTGCATCCTATGGTCAAAATGAGTCCTCTCTAACAATGAATCTACACCATCCATTGAGTGAATTTCAAAATCTAGAGCTGTGTGAATTCAAAATCATTTTTTTTCTCTTTAACATTGTTAATCTCACAATAATCAAGCTATCTAAAAAATTTAAAAAGGAAAAATATCATTACAAGCCGATCCAAGCATATCATTAAAATGGATGGCCTATGTCAAAAAATACTTTCTAGATTCTATTTTCAAATTTTCCTTTTTTATGATTGTTTATTAAAATGAAAAAAATGTACATTTAAAAATTAGATTCATTTAAAAATTAGGGTCAAACAAATGACCCCAACACCATTTTACAAGATTGTTTCATTATATCAATATAGAATCATTACATGAAATCACTTTACCACAATCAAAATGAGCCAACAATGACTATATGTTATCCATTTGGTGGAACCTGAGAAATAGGACCTTAATAATTTTAAAGAAATATTCTTTGTTTCAAAACATGTTCATATAGTGTTGATAAAACCATGGTTGAGGATGTCGCCTGCTATTAACGAGTCCTGTAAACTCGTACATGAACATTAATAAATATATATCAAGTACAATCAACTTTAGCTAGAGGTGGCAATCGGGTCAGGTCGACCCACCCACCCGAGGGGTTGGCATGGGTCTGGGTCCAAGTCTAGGTCCGAATCCAAATGACTTGCACTCAACCTGGGTGAAGCTCCAAATCCCGATCCGGCATAAAATATATAAATAATACATAAAAGAATTTATCTTTTTAGTTTCTAGACCAAGGTCCAAGTCCGGGTGAAACCTAGTCGGGTCGTCATCACCAGACACGTTGCCATTGAACTACGCATATTTTATTATGAACAAAAGTTCCTTTGATATTTTGTTATGATTCGTTATGGATACAATTATGAAATAGTGCCGTTCCTGAGAGTTTCCAGCTTATTTCTGGAAATTAGGGATTCAAAAGTGATCATCTAGGACCCACAGGCCATGCAAAGCACTTAATCATGCTCTCACTGAACTTTTTGAGAGCGTAGGGCTTCTTGCACAGGATAATACTTCAATATTTTTGGCTGATAATCTTATAATCTCAACTTCCTGCACTTCCGCGTAAACACGAGGTACTGTCACTTTTATAAAGGTTCGAGTTCAGCTCTCTTATGTCTTTTGTGCGTTCTTGTTACTTAATCCCTCATGATTTCTCTTGTTTTTCTCCTAAGACAAAAGCGTCTTGAACCTTCTGTTACAGCCACCAGAGCTGCTTGCTTTCTATCATGCAATGCCCAAAATCAGACATTTACAAAGTGCAACCTACCACTTCTACAACGATGAGAATTTTTTTAAGAAAGAGTTGTAAGTTCGTAGGTAGAGTTTCAGAAGAACTCCATATTTTCTACCCATTTGGGAATCTTCATGATGATCGGGAATTATGCCTGCTGATGTCCCTTTAGTTTATGTTCACAAACTGCTTGGGTTCTATACGCAACTGCATATTAACGATTCATGCAACCCCAATAACTGGAATTTGAAATTAAAGAGGTGAAATTAGGACTGTGTTCTGTGTGAAAAACTTGTGATGGATCATTGCTATCTCTACTGCTACTTAATCTGTCATGATGTAGCAAAATAGTGGCAGTCCATTGACATATGAGAGAGAGAGAGAGAGTGAGAGACTCATCAATGCGCAGAAGCAAGCGCCATGAGGAATGTGACCACTTCCTCTGATGACTGGAGAATGTACCTCGCAGACGAGCGCTTGCGCCCAACAGCACAAGAGAAGTAGTTGTCACCCTTTAGGTCCAAAACCGATGACCCCTCATTTACCGACATGTTCATCTTCTCCTCATGATGATGATCAAGGCTCTTCCTCCACGCCGCTCCCACTGTACTGCCACTTACCCATGGTTTTTTATTATAATGATCCACTGATGACGATGAATGTGACCTTGCACTGCTTCGACTATGCATCAATTTTCCATTGCCTTTTCCAGAGGCTGATCTTTGGGTGGATCGCCTTTCTGGCAAGGCTCCAGAGGGATCCGTAGCCTTGCCTCTTGTGCTGACCACAGGGTCCTGTGGCAACTCAGGCTCGAAGAATGTGTATATGTCCTCGTCCTTATTTGACAGGAGATAGTAGTCTTGTTAGAGGCTTTGACAGGAGATAATAGTTTTGTTAGAGGCAAAGATCTCTCTCTCTCTCTCTCTCTCTCTCATATACGGAGACCCATGCGCTTGCATACACACACATACACTTGCATACACACACATACACTTGGCTTCAGATATCAGAGTAAGAATGACCAAACATGACCTCATATGGAGAAGTGTTAGAAAAGTTAAAACTCAATGGATGATTGGGTCCCCGCCAAAACCGTGTCAATCCACCAAGTCAAATGTTTAACTTGGTAAATCTCAGCAAGTTTTCAAATTTTAAGTGAATAATAAAGGAAAAGAAAAAGAAAAATGAAATTTCTATAATGAGAATAGCACCCAGCTCTTCAGCAAGTAATATGGAAATGCTACCATATTGATAGTTAAAATCAACAGAGAGCAGGGGAATCATGTCTAAAAGTTGAACTACTTAGCATTTCAGGAAAGTTTTGATTTGATAAATTTCAAAAGCCATAATGCTGTGTTGATGGGCTGTTTGAAATTTGATCAAAAGAACGATGGCCAACTGAAATTAGATTTAAAGAAATGGGTGAGATACTAAATTTTTAGTATCTCACTGGTGTGATTTGATAAACTTTGCTAAAAAGTATACTAAGAGAAGAACTTGAATACACTCAGAGTTCATTATTTATACGCCTTGACAAATTAACTCCTGCAAGTTTTTCCAAATTGTAAATGATCATAACTGGGTGAAAACAAGTGTTAGTGCCGTTCTGAGAAGAGTTTGGGTTGTTCTGGAGAACTCTTCAAAACGTAAGGGTCATGGCCCTCCAATCAGTTGGGTTGGACGGAGACGGAGGGAGAGTGGGACAAATTATCGAAGTTATGCCATGTTTGGGATGTCTCATTCCCTATTGTTCACCTCGTTGGTTGGGCTATAGCCCTAGCGGCTGCTTGGTCACGGATCATACCATTATTGGCATATCCATCTACAATCCAAATTATTACTCATCTTGTTTATACTAATAAGAAAGAGAGAGAGAGACCTTCCCTAAGAAGTGGCCAATGCATAGAACATAGTCAATTGGTGTTGACATGCGCTTATAGTGCACAATTTCTCCCAGAATCCGATCAATCGCTGCTCCCTGCTCACACAACAAACCAAAAGTTAGAGAGAGTAATCAATGACAATACTTACACATGACACTGCGAAGAATAAAAAAGAAATCTAACTTGAACCAATCACGTCTCCTTGCCCTTATCATTGCCAAAGATCCAATGACCATGATTGGCCATCGGTCAGACAGCCAAGAGTCGGTCAGACCGCCAAGAGACTAACGGAATCCCCAAAAATTCTTAACCATTACAAAAACATTATCTTGAAAGCCAAGTTATCCATTATAAATTGCAGATAAAATTTTCCATCTACAAAGGTACTGATTTGCAACCATGAAGACAAAAAAAATACAAACCTTTGAAACACCAACAGAGCGGACCTCAACAGATCGACTTCCTTGAACAACGTCCACAGCAGCATTAGAAATTGGACCAGTCCATAAATGTTGCAACATATCTCTTGCTTGAAGCCTTCCAAATTCAACATCTATAAAGAGCATATGAGATGAGAGAATAAGAATCGTCACAAGAGAAAATCAACAAGTGTGATAGATGTTACACATGCTTCATACCTGCATACTTGTAATTCCACACGAGTGAAGTCTCACGTGTTTCAACATAAGATCTTGGAGTCCTCTCGGTAAAATACTCGAATACAAGCTGCAATTTGCAATGGAGGTTTAAAAGAAGAGAAATACAATAGTAAATACATGTATAATCGGACAAATACAAATGCTATTTCATGCTGGTGAAAAAAAATCAAACAAATTAGCCAAAAAGAAATGTACTTGTTAATAAAGATGTCAATACCAACCTCTACACTTTCAACCCAGTCCATATTTAAATGTTCTGGCATTGTGGTCATCCACTCCCCCGTGGTAAGGCGCAAAAACATTCCATTTTCCGCAGCCAACCACATGTTGAACTCCCCAAAATTCTGTGACGAAGATTTCATAGCATTGGGTTGATATTATTTAACAAATTTTAGAAAAGTAAATTATCAATGAATATTTTCAACTTAAAGTACATTGGAAATCATGCATACCACGTCCAACACATCTCTCTCACTACCACTAAGTACCACAACTGTTGTCCTAGGGTCATTGCAAAGAGTTGTTAGAGGTTCTTTTAATTCAGGATGCAATGTAAGCTCCATCTCTTTAATCTGATCACCACCCCTTCCTCCTCGAGTTTCTATGGGCTCTGTCAAAGTTGAATTGAATCCCTGTAGTTTCAAAAGTACATACAGTAAGGTAATATGCACCTTTTAAATAGAGCACACTAGAAAATGTCTATTTCTTTTCATCTAGCTTCAGAATTACTATTTAAGTTTCAAAATCAAGGGTCATGAGTCTCAAACAGCATGCATTATTTGATTCACAAACATAGCGTTTGAGGTGCCACAATGACTTACCACTCGTCAAGAACTGTAAGTCCAATATTTTGCCCAGTGTCCTCAAGGTTGAGAGAAACTCAATCAAGCAAACCACCACCAAGAAAAACTGCTTTCGCAAGTTATCTTTAGCCTTTAGATTGTAGGAACCAACATTTTTAGGGTAAGATTGAAGACAATGTACGTGTTTTATGATTTAATGATCAGATTTGATGTCCAAAAACAATGTCATTTGAAGCTGAAATTTATTGGAAAAGAAAAGGAATGGGAGAGTAACAAAAACAATCCATAAAGACCATAAATATGGAATTTTTACTTAGGAGTCGCCTATGAGTACTGGGAGTACTTGTCTTTGAAAGTCAGAACACAATACATGTAAAAGGGTACTTGAAAACAGAGTCTACAGTATTATTTTTAGAAGAATGCCATAAAAACCAGATTCATGTGATTCGAAGTGGATAACTCACAATAGGCTTGGCTTATAATTGCCATCTTTGATGGGGACACATGCACACAATCATTTAAAGCATGTTAGCAGCATTAACATCTCGCTCTTGGTTGCTAAACTCCTTTAACCACATTGAATGAATAAAGGCAACAGAAGCCAACCCATTGAAACTACATTTAAGACATGATGCAGACAAACAAAGATTGAAATAGATACCCATTGTAAACCAATCTTGACATGCACCAATAGCAAGTTGTTTAAGCAACACTGTGCATATAATACCGGCATTATAAAATGTGGCCCTGTAATATCTGAACATAATAAAAAAAAGGATTTGTACAATGACAAAAAAAAAGGTTTTGAACAAAGACAAAGAAAAGGTTTTGCACAATGAGAGAAGATACCAGTATGAGCAATCGATTCTCTGAATGGAGATATCGTTCAACTGCAGTGTTGATGGGAAGAAGAGGCGGGTCATGTCTAATCCGTAGTTGAGCTTCAACTATGGTTTCATTCAATTCACTACAAGTGAAATATATAGGCAAGAAAATTACAGGCAGAAAGAGGCAACAGAAAATGAACATTTAAACATATCCATAAGCACAAACTCAGATAATGAGGTCAAAATTGAGACAACAGATACTTCATCTCATAGAATTTCATGTGATATCTTATTTATTATAAGGGTTGCATCTACAATGGAGTTAAACCTAGGACAAAAGCAGCTCATCAATACTCGAGGAAACTACAATCTCCACTTATCAAAGATCAACAGAAACTTAGCACATGGCGGCTATGCAGTTATATGCCATAATTGGGGAACTACATGTAAAAACACTTACATTTTTTGAGCAATTAAACAAGTCCATGAATAATAATCAATTCTTGAATCAAGAAAAGAGCAAAAACATGGCAATAAATAATTGCTGGAACTCAAAGTTAAGCATCACTAAACATTGCTCAATGGAGTGGGCAATATTTGTGATTGGTGGAAGTTAACTAAGATACGATAAGATCTCAAAAGTAGCTGATTGGTAAGTGGACTGTGAAACATAAGGCCTGAAACAATTAGGGAGGACCAAGCCATGCTTAGTATTTTTTTTAGAGAAACCAAAGCACCCATCTTATCAAATGCCATAATATCCCATTAAACAAACTTTGAATAGAACTATAGAAGACCATCCATAATTTTGAGATTTATTGATGTCTACAAATGCTTTGGAAGCACAAACGTTTCATCTACAAAAATGAAATCATAGTTCTATTTACCCTAAAAAAAAAAAAAATTCATAGTTGTAAATCAAATCTCCATTAAAATTTGCTCTGTAGAGTTGAAATGCTCAAATTTGAAATCAAGGATTGATTTGGCATATTTAGAAATAAATGGCATGTTTCAGTTGGTCAACAAATATTAACATCAATGAAAAACCACATAGGAGAAAACTAGTGATAGGAACATGTCTTAACTCAATAGAACACTAGCACACTCTTAATTTTCAAGATGATTGACAAAGCAGTTCATTCAATATAACAATGTGATCTTTCTGAAGCAATCCAATAATAAATACTCAGACAAAATGCTCAATAATAGAACAATACAAACAACGAAATAGAATTAGAGAAATTGCTAAACCAAACTCCAACTTTTATCTCTTATGAAGAGATTAAAACCATCAACAGGGCAAGTTTTGAGATCCATACCTAACAAAAGTTTCAGCCCATACTTGTGCAGTGTGCATTGTAACATGTTCAAAGTTATGTCTATGCCGTTTCTCCCTTTCTTCAGCTGGCATCTCTAAAGCCTCACCAATTGAACGAGCAACTTCAGTGATGTTCCATGGATTAACAAGTAGGGCTCCAGCACCAAGAGATTGAGCAGCTCCTGCAAACTAAAGAAGGAAATTTTCAGTTTCACATTTAATCTGAACAATTTTATAGAATCTTTAAGTAAAATACAGCCACATCTAATGAGACTGAAGCATTAATATCAAAGAAATTGAACCTTGACTTTCTTGCAGTATAGGATAGTGTAGATTACACCATACAGAGTTAAACCAGGTTACAAACATAGCATTGTAAAGCCAAATTCCTCAAAGTTCTATTCACTGTTAACATGCAATATAAAATTTCTAAATCAAACTCCCTGGAGTCTACTTTCTGAATAAGCCTAAAGTTTACTTCCACATAACTTTGCCAGCACCATGCATAGTTATGGGGAGCACCTTCCCTAGTGCTCTGTGAGCACAGTTCCACGCTGCGTGAGCTGATCCTCCTTAAGAGCTCACACTTGAATATACGGGGCCACAATCTCATTTATCATGGGATCTCAAGTCCATTTAACATGGTATCACGATCCATAATCATTAGATAAATGATTAGATAATTTACTTTTGGTTAATTGATAAATGATTGGGTGAATTCTCAATTATAAAGATGCCACTGACTATAGTATAGTAGTGTGAGTATCATTACTTGTTGATTATATGCCCTTATACTCGTAGGAAAACGGAGATAAATCTCAAGGTTTCATGAACACCATTGAAAGACTGGTGGTTGAAAGATAAATTTCGGTTCCCTTCCATAGTGTATGTGTCTATGATATTAAAAAAAAGAACAATTTGTTCTTTCACACATACATATATATATGTATATATATGTATGTGTGTATATAGATATATGTGGGAAAGATTACAAATCCCATGAGCTAATTACTACAACATTAGCTCAAAGCCTAGAAACTCCACAAAAAAAAAAAAACTATGTTGGAGAATTTGTTTGAGTCCAATATTTGTACACAGCCCATATTCATCTCGATGAACAAGCTCATGAAATAATTTGATAACAAACCAGAAAATAGTTTTTTAATTAGAGAAATCCATCAGAGGTCGAAAAAATCTCCTTAGATGGGTGCTCTTAGGATTATTTCGGGTCATGTGTGTGTGCCTTAACAACAAGAACCGCAATAAAGAAACAACCACTAACTTCCCCCACTCTACTGCAGTGCCCCCCAAACACCAATACCCTGGTGGGCGACTAAAATCTCTTTGTGGAAGTATATTTTGAAAGTCTTATTAACTACCTTGTCAAAGAGTTACCCTCTTGTTTCTCTGAAATAACCAAACAATATACTTATTGCAAAAACTGACTATTCAGAAAGCACTCCAAATATGGAAAATATGGTAATTATGGCCGCTTTTTCCCTTAATATAAAGTGAATATATACTCCAATTCATAGTTACCAGGATCGCCTACCGCCTACTTTTGTAGGCGATCCCTTCTATGATCTCGATTCTCTCGCTCCCAGAACAGATCTCTTAGGGATCTCAATTTTAAAATTTTTGGATCTCAATCCCCACTGATAGGGATCCCAATTCCTACTGTTAGGGATCTCAATCCTAAGCATAAAAGCCAAGACAACAACCAAACTGATGATGTACTTTGAATATAACCAACTAGCAGCACAACTATTGCATGCTTGCTATGAATAATGAGATCTCTACTTTAAAGAGTACACATAAAGCTATACTATCATATACTTTTAAGGTTGGTAGCAAGATCTCCAAAACATTGGGATCAACCAAAAGGTTGATCCCCTAAAGGATGGAATCTCGATCCCTGACATTTGGGGATCTTAATCGCTAACATGTGCATTCTACGGATGGCATTCCCAACCATAGGGATCTGCTCGCATTTCATGATCCCCAGCGTCCAAACCTGATCCCAATACCATTCCCGCTCCCGATCCTAAAAACTATGCTCCATTTAGATTTTTCTTATCATTTTCTTTTTTTATCAATCTTTCAATTAGATGTTCTACATAACTTTTTGAATTGCATTTTAGACCACACCACGAACTCAATTGCAAATTACAGCAAGTAAACAAGTGAAAGCTCCTGTAATCAACTAGAAAAGAATAATTATGAAGAAATAAAGTTAAGAACAATCACCTCACTAAGAATGAGGACCCCTTTCTTTGAGTCTTGACATGCTACAAACTCGTAGCTAACAAGATTCATCCCATCCCGCAAAGAAGTCACAAGGGCAACATCTGGATAACAATCAGATACATGCAACATCAGCCCACGAAAAACGCCCAACCTCTCGTCAGCCAGAAACATGACAAGCAGACAGCAGAACTAACAACAGATGTTATCAGCTTCAGCACAGTAACAAAGAATATTATTAAGATCAGGTTAGGTTATTTCGACATAAGGAACAGAAGCTGTTGTTTCATATCATTATCAAAACTGCCACCAGTTCAATGCACTTAGATTAAAATGGAGCAATAACAGAGACATTAAATTTCCAATACAGCAGTGCCTAAATAGATATCAACTGCAATGTAATGACATAGCATAACAACACTTAAAGAGCCATGATAACGCTAAATCTATGTCAGAAATACGAAGAGCAACAAACATCGACATCAACTAAAACAAATGTCATTTTGTATGTAAATGGATGTTATTTTGTTACCGTACTCGTTATGGAGTTATTAGTGCATTATGCATGTTCAAGGACATTATGTTAGCTACAACGTAACTAGACTGCTCGAATTTTTGGTGAACACATTGGATGTTATTTTGTGGAACATTACACCGGGGCAACATATGTTCCTTTCCTTGAGAAGATTTCAGTAACTACCTCAGAATTTCCCTAGATTACGTTTACAGTTCTCTAGTAACAACTAAGCTACTCATAAGTCCACATAATTTTCTTTTACTTTTCCTCGAAATAGTATCAGAATTTTGTAATATTTTCTAGTGAAACACATTTATAAATGCACAAGATATTTAAGAATCAAAGTGCCACATATAGAGATACATTTCTTGACCCATTTACTACAATTGAAAACTCACTTCTCACACTTTCAGAAGAGATGAATTATCTACAGGCCCCACCAACACCAGTGGGAGCAGAGAAGGCCCTCTTAAAATTTTATTAATCTCATCTTCTGCTACACTAATTGTTATTAGATTTTATAAAGAGAATTCTACTCTACCTCCTTCCATGGTTTCTTGAGTATTCTTTTCACTAGTGGGAGGAGAGGAAGCCCTCTTAAAATTTTATATTCTCATCTTCTGCTGCTTTAATGTTGTGAGATTTTATAAAGAGAATTTATTTCCATTTCTCCCTCCTTCCATGGTTCCTTGAGTATTCGACAATCTCCCCAAGGAGGCAATGAAACTCCCATCACATTGACGCATTGAATTCAAGAGACTGAGGAATGCAATTTAGAATCAAAATAATATTTTATAGATGATGCATGTTGAAATTTCTTAGGACACTGCCACACCTATTCATGTAAGTTTTAATACACAAAATAAATCTAGATCAACACATTTTACATACATGCATATGTCTATCATAAAAATGTATAGTGATGACCCATATGAAGAATATCGTACATATCATGCAAAGAACGCCAAGATTCAATGACACGCATACATCTGTCATAAAAAACACTAAGTTTAACACTTTTTACGGGTAATATTTCCACATATGCAAATACAACATGATGTTTTGCAGCACTGCTAATGCTGCTTTGACGTGGTTAAGCTTCTGCATGTTTTGAGGCCTACAGATAGCGCCTCTTTTTCTGGGATTTTCCAAAGAACAAATATTGGATATTGCTTCATACATATAAGATACTTTCTCCAGATTTGAACAACTGGGAAAAGTTAGCATGTGAAGGCTCAACATAAGATCGTAAGTGTAAACATCAGCCAATATTTCAGTTTCCTGAATCTCCTGATCCTTTTGGCTCTCGTAGTATCATTTGAAAGAATTTGGTAAGTTTTCTACTTAGTGGCATGAATTTTTCTTGGTCAGCCTTCACATGCAGAGGATGGCTCCACAAAATGAAAACTCTACGCAGCCTTATATGACTAGACAATCCTCCCCCCCCCCTCCCACCAAGTGAGGCATACTGGTCGATATCATGGGACGAGATCTATGATTTGAGGGGTCATTTGCATATGTGCTTTCAGCAGGTACATGAGATGATGTGCTTCAGAGAGAATGTTCCTAAGCTCTGCTCAAGTTCAGTTAGGAAGTGAAATGTGTTCTTCACATTTGGTTGATGACCTCTGTGTAATTCTCAGTTTGTTCTGCATAAGATTGGAATAGCTTTTTTTTGTTTTATGAAGCTAAGATTGAATAGTTTTTTTCGCATTAAGTATTAAATGAAGGGAATAATATTTAATGAAGGGCAGGAGAAGAGAAGAATTGTTATCAATGTTGTAAAGACACAATAATTGAACCAATGGAAAAAAACTAATGAAATTTGCAGCATAATAAAAACAAAAACATAAACGCATGCACAAATACACTCAGAACTACATCCTATAAAGCAAAACATATACCAGTTATGGCATACAAGGCACAAAGTGCATGGAAATCAAGTGAACGATCCTGCATAAGAAAAGACATTTCATCAGCATGCAAAAGTTTTACAAATGCATAAACCATGAAAAAGAAAAAAATAAAAAAAAATGTATCAAAACAACAACCCTGCTGGGCCTTGATAGTCCAGAATTCGGGGGACCAGGACCCATGGGGCAGACTTGGCCTGGCCCCTGGAAGGGACCAGGCTGGTTCCTGGTCGGTGTTGAGAAAGTCCCTGATTCCTGGCCACATCTCCCAGCAATCACTGAGTTCAACTCTTTCTTCTGACAGGAGCTTTAGGTGGATAAAGAAAAAGAAAAGTAGGGATCTTTACCTGACTGTTGGTATTACGACCAAAAAAATCCCTTGGGCTGCCTTTCAGCACTATGTCATCTCATTTAACTAGATTAGTGAAAAAACTTACTGATTTCACAGACCAGAGAGAAACTGAAATCCACTTTTCAAGTATAAAGAACGAGCAAGATTCAAATCAAATCAGTTTGACGCCTATCCCCAAAATTATTGGGAGTTCCATTTGCAGACTTTGAGGGTCAATCTATGACTGGTAACTGATCATACAACATTTATGTTTCATTAGTTTTAATATTTATTTTTTATCACAATGTGAATTTTTTTACAAGTCTAGAAACTCTAGATTAACATGGATCTAGGCCTTACTTTACATGGATCAGGTTTTTGTTTGCAGACCAACAGCTAGATCATGTATTTTTCCTTGCATTTGAATTTGATTTTTGGATAATATTTAAAAATTCTATGTAGAAATGAGAAAAATGTCATGGTCTTTTATTTTAGCAAGGAATATTCTTCTAAAAATATATTTTTTTGTACAGTAATTTGTTTTCCCATATGGTTCTTGATTTATCACAAATTATTCATGATCTTTCAAGGTCTTTCCTATTTTTTATTTTTTCTTCTGCTTTATTTCATATTTGGCATTTTTCCTTTATATAGCATGAAATTATTCTCTAAAAAGATTTTACAAGTGTTTGCGCATCTAACGTATTTAGGAATGCCATTCCCCACCCTAACACATTCAGCTGCAGTGCATGTAATTTTTTCAGACAAATTGGAAACGAGCAATTTGTTGGGAAACAAAATGTTTTCTTTTAGTTTTTACATGTTTACTTGTCTGTTGCATCTAGGGACACCAGTCCCCGAATTCAGTTCAAGTGGGGAAAAAGAATTTATTTGAGAAAATTTGGGTACAAGAACTTGGCCACTGAAATGCTAGGTGGTTTCTTCCTTTTTTGTGTTTGGTTTTACATGTATTTGCACATCTGATGCTTCCAGGGATACCAATCACCACCCAAAGGTGTTCAGTTTGGGTGCAAACAACGATTTCTTGCAGAAAAAAAATGGGCATGAGCAAATTTTGGGATGTTAAAATGCTTTTAGCGATGCCAATCCCCAACCATACATGTTCAGTAGATTGCAAGCAATGATTCTTTTGGGACAAAATTTGAAATGAGCAAATTTTTGCCACTAAAATGATTTTAGGTTTTATCCTTTTTTCTTTATGCGTAGTTCAGCATCCAAGACCGCTTAGTTGCTAGTTGATAGTTGGTTTAGCTTCGGAGTTTGAAGTATGTCACGGGGGGGAGACAATCTTGCTTAACAGTACCCTGGTAAGAGTATTTTGTGAGGAGATGAGGACATATCAACTGCCTGAAACATTCCCAAGTGAAGGTGAGGGGTGGTGTTGCGAGCTGTGCTAAGGAGCCAACAAATGCACGGCAATAAATATTGGTAGTTGTCACAGTAGCAAAGGAGAAGAAGGTCAGGGAAAAACAAGATCGTTGAGGAGATTAAAAACTAATATGACATCCCTACTCAAACGGGAAATTCTGAGGAACAGTTAGAGGTGAAACTCAAACTTGCTAAAAAGGAAAGTTCAAAGGATCTGTACCACCAGCAGAGAAAATGGGAAGGTTTGGAAGTGGGGGTCCTCATGGTCTAGCCTATGTGGTATGGGAAGGTTTGGAAACAAGGGATCCAGTATGGCTAGCATGGGCCATGTTGTTGATGATACGGGGTGCTGCACACCCGGTTTCTTCAGGTTTGCGAGCATGATGTAGAGGGATTGGGTGAGGTGCACAAGCTAGACAACCACCTTAGCCACCAAGCATACTTAACCCGCCTAACTGCTCCTACAACTCGAAATAGTTGGAAGGTAGCACTGCAAAAATCTAAGACCCCACCGAGTGTTAGAGTTAGCTCCTTCACGAGCAAGGTGGTCAGCATCAGAGTTAGCTTCCCAAAAAGTATGGTGTCTAGAGATTGGGATATCCTGAGTCAAGTGGGCTATCTCATCGAATACGTCGTCTAGACGCCACGGCCAAGAGGAGACTCTTGATGCCCACAAGATGACGTTTTTGGAGTCTCCTTCCACCACCAAGGTGGGCCCCTAGGTGGTTTAAAATATACGGAGGCCTTCTAAAAGGGCACTGGCTTCAGCTAGAGTTGAATCCGCAAAGCCTATGGGGCAAGAATAAGCTTGCAAGATCTGACCAACAGTGGAGCAAAAGAGACCTCCTACTCCAGAGGATCCCGGGATGCCAAGGGAGCACCCATCAAAATTCAGCTTGATGGAGCCTGGCCTGGGTGGTCTCCAAAGAGATGCTCGCGAGATCCTAGGGCTGACTACCTGAATTAAGTTGTCCCAGTTCCTATAGAAATCAGTGTAGGGGCAGTTCTTGAACAATCTATGGTTTGTGGCCCAAAATGCCACTAAGTTGCGAACTTTGTCAGCCAATGCTGCGCCCGAAGATCTCTCACCTCTGAAAGTTCTGTGGTTCCTTTCGATCCACAAAACCCATATAGTGACTGAAACAGATGCTTTCCAAAGTTCTCTGCTGCCTTGGGCCAGGGGGTATTAAGGAGAGCCTTGAACAGGTGTTGAATGGAACTTGGGGTGACGCAAGTCCACTGGAAAAGGTCCAAAATATAGGACCATAGCCCTCTAGCAAACTTCCAATGGCGATACAAATGTGCATTTGACTCCTCAGCCTCCAAAAACAGTGAACATCGGTTAGGGCAATGTAGTACTTCTCTTCTTTGGAGAAGATCAATCGTCAACACTCTCATGGAGTGCAATCCAGCAGAAACCTGAATCCTTGGGGGTGAGATGGGGTTCCAGGCTTTTGATAACAGTGAAGGGCTGGAATTGGCAGTAGCTGGGTAGGAGGTGAGGGAATGAAACATGGAGGATATCGTCAAGATCCCCGAGGGTGATGGCTCCCAAATGATCATATCCATGCCGGAAATTGGAAGGAACACTGGATGGAGAACTTCTGCCAAACCCCTGAAATCCTCGAGCTCAAATCATTAAGAGCTCTCCTGAAATTTGGCGACTAAGTTCTGAGATGACCTGCATGCCCAAAATTCTCTTCCACAGTTGAGGTTGTGTCACGTGCTATACGGAACAGGTTAGGGAACTGGTCCCTAAGAGGCCTACTGCTGACCCAGGTGTCATTCCAAAATTGCACCCTGGTCCCCTCTCTTGGGCAAGATCGAATGTGGCCCAAAAACAGATCACGGCACCTTAAAATAGACTTCCAGAAACAAGATATATTGTCGCTAGATCGGCAAATACGCACCCAATTATCATTGCCTTGACAGTACTTGTGTTTGATAACTTCTCTCCAAAGGTGGCTTGTGTGGGTCGCATACCTCCACCACCATTTGTCCAAGAGGGCAATATTGTGGTTTCTAAGATTGCGAATAGCCAGACCCCCCTGAGACTTAGGTAAACACAGTTTGGCCATGCGATGAGATGGATCTTATGCCTATGCTTCCCAGACCAAAAGAATTCCATCATCATTCGCTCTAGTCTAGCGGCCACAGAGGCAGGGATTCAGAATAGAGACATGGAATATTGGTGTGTTGGCGAAAGTTACTTTGATCAACATAAGCCTTCCCACCTTGGATAAGAACCTACCTTTCCAGCCTGCGAATCTCCGATCAAATTTAATGTGGCTCCACTGAGAGAGTCAGAGCAACCCCAGGCAAACGGGGAGACCAAGATAAGAAGAGGGCAAAGTCTCTACAAAACACCCCCACCAACTACTAGCTAGGAAATGGACCACAGAAGGGTCCGTGCAAACCCTCATCATCTAGGACTTGGAGAGGTTTGCTTTAAACCCAGTAGCCATCTCAAAACACTTAAGAAAAAGCAATAATGTGTGGACGTGTTGCACCAAGGAGCCAAAGAAGTCTAGGGTGTTGTTTGCGTATTGTAGGTGGGAGATACGGGGTCCATGGTTACTAGACTTAAAGCCACTCAATAACTCTGCCGGGTAGAGCTGTGAGATTGAGGTGCTGAGAACCTCAGCCACAATAGCAAGCAAGAACAGCGAGAGAGGGTCTCCCTGGCGAATACCTCTACTAGCCAGGGAGTAGCCTTTGGGGGGGTCCCATTGAGAAGGACCGAGAAAACGGGGTTAGTTATGCACCCTCTGATCCAACCTCTCCAATTTGGTCTAAAAGCCATCCTTTTAAGGATTTCATCGAAAACTGCCCAGACAACATGGTCATAGGCCTTCTCCCAATCTGGTTTTATGACTAATCCAAAGATGTTTGAACTGGACTGAGAGTGGATGCACTCGTGAGCTATTAATGCCCCATCTAAAATTTGTTGACCCTTGGCAAACGCACGATGGGTGGGGGAAATAACAGAGTCCAGAACAGCTCTCAATCTAGAAGCGAGGACCTTGGACAGCAGCTTGTAAGACCTATTGACCTAGCTAATGGGCCTGAAGTCCTTTGATTTCGTTTGTTTCTTTGGTGCCCTTTGGGGTTGTATAGGGTGCCTTCTATGAGGTCCCAATTGTGTGTACATTTTTATTCGGTAATACAATTGTAGTCAACATTTCTCAAAAAACAATGGAGGTAAGGATCATCAAGTCCACCTTTGCTAAGACTATAAGAAAGCATGAGATAAAGGGTCATTGTGAAGTTCTTTTATTGTGTTTTCATTCCTTTCAATGCAGCCAATACTGCAAGCCCAT